TCACACTGCTGTTGGCTGTGGTTATCCATGGGGCTCATGCTTCCAGTTAACTACATACACCCTGGGTGTCACACTGCTGTTGGCTGTGGTTATCCATGGGGCTCATGCTTCCAGTTAACTACATACACCCTGGGTGTCACACTGCTGTTGGCTGTGGTTATCCATGGGGCTCATGCTTCCAGTTAACTACATACACCCTGGGTGTCACACTGCTGTTGGCTGTGGTTATCCATGGGGCTCATGCTTCCAGTTAACTACATACACCCTGGGTGTCACACTGCTGTTGGCTGTGGTTATCCATGGGGCTCATGCTTCCAGTTAACTACATACACCCTGGGTGTCACACTGCTGTTGGCTGTGGTTATCCATGGGGCTCATGCTTCCAGTTAACTACATACACCCTGGGTGTCACACTGCTGTTGGCTGTGGTTATCCATGGGGCTCATGCTTCCAGTTAACTACATACACCCTGGGTGTCACACTGCTGTTGGCTGTGGTTATCCATGGGGCTCATGCTTCCAGTTAACTACATACACCCTGGGTGTCACACTGCTGTTGGCTGTGGTTATCCATGGGGCTCATGCTTCCAGTTAACTACATACACCCTGGGTGTCACACTGCTGTTGGCTGTGGTTATCCATGGGGCTCATGCTTCCAGTTAACTACATACACCCTGGGTGTCACACTGCTGTTGGCTGTGGTTATCCATGGGGCTCATGCTTCCAGTTAACTACATACACCCTGGGTGTCACACTGCTGTTGGCTGTGGTTATCCATGGGGCTCATGCTTTTAGTTAACTACATTCACCCTGGGTGTTGCACTGCTTCTTAGATCTTTGTCATATTACAGATAACTTAAGTCAAATCTTTATTTCTATGATGAAATATTTCAAAAATTTTATAGGAATGGTGCATGTGTAAGGAAAAACCCATTTTATAAAGAAGCCAAAGTTATGCTATACATTTTAAAATATTCAAAAATCATATTTTTGGTTTGAATAATCTGAAAACAACTTATTTTTCTCAATTTAAACCTGATATACAATACCGACCCCCCACTATAAATAAAAAAATACCTGTTGTAAAAACCTCTTCCAAAATGACAGAAAGATAAGATGAATTATGATTCATTTAAATCTCAGTGACGCATTATGATTCATTTAGAATCAAGTTATTCAGCATGTTACAAAACATTGAATCCAAGTGCAGGGATGGGTCGAGCAATGACTTTTGAACATGTGAAAACTGCTTCCTTTTTGATCATAAATCAGATAGGATGCTGCAGCTGGTCTGAGCTTTAAGGTCAAAATTATTGGTCACCTTCACTTCTGGTTCAACCTGTAGTAGTCTGCTTACATAAAGCATCACTCTAATACAGTACATTCATAATTTGTAAAACATCCAAATATTCCCATTTAGGCGGGACTTAAATCTTTTTATCCTGGGACCAAATTTCAAGTTTTTTTTTTTTTTTTGAAAGGGGCGGGGTAGGGGGGGCAGGGCGATTCTGGCCCCTGTAACCAATGTCTGTTCATGACCTGACCAACAGAAGTCGGCTGTCTTCCTTTGCCACCCCACATGTGGGCGTGTATATTGCCATGAAGTAAAAATATGAGTGTAGTTCTAAGGCACAGATAGCACCTGGTGCCTCAAACTCCTTCATGCACTACACCATTTTTCTAGTGTCCATGTCACATAGCCCATATATCCGGTGCAAAAAGTTTATTTATTCATTTTGTTATAATAAATTCCTTTTAGTGTAGGCCATACATTTTCCTAGGTATATGTCTTCTTTCGTTTCCATGACGTAAATTAATCACGGTTGCTCATAGAGGCACCTGTCAATTGTCTTAAGCAAAGTTCCTGTCATTTCTATGCCACTCAGGGTAACTAAACAGATACTCACTCCCAACACTGTCTGCCTCTCCAACCTGTAAAATCTCTAGACCATAGATAAACCTAAACCAAACTCAACAAGGTAGAGAAATTTCAATCAACTTCAAAGACAGGCACCAGCTAGATCTTCCTCGTCTGTGAGCATTACGTAAGGAAAGTGTACGGCACGCACGAATTCCTGCATTTCAGGCAACCCTTCAGTGCATGGTTAGAGTACACTTGTTTATGTCCAGATTAATTTTAAGTGAGGAGTTTGGCATTTCTTTAATATTTCCTTTTTCCAACACTTGAAATTATTACTGCTGGTCAAAATTTTAGATCAAGAGCATCTAGTTTTTTAAGTCCTACCTATTTTGAGCTCAATCTCAAGCTGCGACTATTAAGTATTTATTTATTTATTTATAACTGCCCCCAGGTTATGTTTTTGCCTTTGTTGGGTAATCAATGAACAGCATAACTCAGAAAGTTAAGGACACACTTTGATTAAATTTTCGTGAGACATCAGAAATGGGCTAACTTGGAACTGTTTAGATTTTGGTGTTGATCCATCAATTAATTATAATGAAAAATGAGAAGCTTTGACTGGATTTTTGTTCTCTTGCTCTCTGGGCACTTTTGTAGCATTTTTTATTTATTTATTGTGATTTACCACTCAATTAAGCAACATCCTCCTAAACTGTAACGTGATGATTAAGCAAAACTGGTCTCCAGGTGTGTTGCGTTAAAACCCTTAAGGTGTTTACCTCCTATTCCTCCAAATCCTTTTACAAACTGTGCTCCTTCTTGCGATCTGTCCGTGATTATCTCCAAAGTGGCACCTGATCATTACAGAAAAACAAGGAAATAAATTATGGCCAGTCCTTTTGGCATATTTTAATAATTACTCACAAAATACAGGTTTATTTATTTGCCTGGTTTGATCATACTAATGACTTCATATCTTACCAGTTGATTGGACTAATTACTGTCTAACAAACCAATATTAACATTTAAAGTATAACAATGAATTCAAAGTAGTTTCCAAGTAAGCAACACAAGACATAAAATATTTGGTAAATGCTAAAAACTAAAGTATTGTTATATCAAAAACATTTGAATCGCACTATTCATAAATTTCTCATTAATTTGCCCCAAAAAATGTATCAGCTGCCAAATTCGAGCTGTTTGGCTTAGATTTTCAATGAATACTTGCCGAAAGTTTTGTAGTTGTTAGCTAACCACTCTAGTAATGGCTGGCTGTCTGACAACTCCAGTTCCACTCCAGTCTGAAATGAGATCAAATAATACAAAAACATTACCACGAGTTTAACTGAAATTTTACTTTCCTAAAAAAATTACTTTCAAAGGTATGTTACAAAACAGAGGGAAGATACAGCAATATCAATTTTTTCATCAATACTCATGTAAAAAATTATGATACTGATAATAAAGCTTGTTTATTTATGAATCCTAACAAGTGTATTTTGCAATTTTCACAATGTAGCCCAGGCTAGATAGGGGTGAACTAGATAGGGGTGAACCTGGGAAAATTGCAATAGAAGTTTTTCACAAAGCATTTCCATAAGGTCCCCAGAGTAATGAATACCAAAAGTCCCACAAAATCCCTGAATGGGAAGCTTAAAAAATATGAAAAGGCCATCACGTACCATTTTGGATTGATGAAATGGCATCGACATTCCAAATAGTGAAGAGATACATATAGACATATTTCCAGGGCATGACTGGGCCGAAGCAGTAGTATGAGGTAAGATCATGTATGCTACTATGTATATTTCTATGGTATTTGGCAACCATTTTGAATTTTTCATCTTTCCCATGCAGGTGTTTTGTGGGTCTTTTTATACATCTCCAGGGTGGCGCTAGCAATTTTTTTTGTATAGCCAAATTCCACTTTTTTATTGCTTTTTGGTCCAAATGGTTTTAATTTGACTAAAATAAGTCATATCAACCCCATTTTGTTTAGCCAATTTCAGTCAATTTTAGCATTTGGCTAAATTGGCAAGTGTTAGCGCTACCCCAGCATCTGTTTTTAACATAAAATTCACTGTCACAGACTCCTCAAAATTACTGAATACTGAAATCCCATTTATCAGTACATGCAAAATCCATTTGCAAAGGTGAAAAGATGCATTTTCACCACAAAAACAACAAATACTTGCTTCTGCCAATATCAAAGCTATGTTAACAGGCAGTTTCAGTAATAAATGTTCAGTTTTTACTCCCGAGCGTAGACTTTTTATTGCCCCTCCAATTACGTAATCACGCTCACTAATGATAATCTGCGTTGGGCTGATCATTCACCTCATGAGTTGCTTTGAATCATGTTCTAAAAGCAAATATTAATCAAATCTTCTACATTACGTCAAAAGTTAGTTTTTTAATTTGGGGGAAAAAAACTTTGGGAAAATAGTCACTAATGTTATTTTTCTACAGATCACACCAGTTCTATTCCCAATATTCCCATTTCATCCTGCTCCGGGACAACATTAGCATTTCATTCAAAATCCCTAGGAGAAAGCTTAATTGTCTATGGTTCCCAGCAGACTTCCACTGCATTATTACAAGAAACAAAAACTTGTGCCGCCTCCACAAGTTAGCTACCAAGTACCATCTAGAGAGCTGAGGAGTGACATAAGAATAAGCAATCACTGGACGACATCCAGTTCTTGTTCCCTACCAGGTACTTCCATTATTTGCACTAATTCAAAATCTAATAACCATTCATCTTCATATCCATACTGCCAGACAACAGACACTGTGCCTCTGAACCATGCACCCAAATGTCAAGTACAGCTTAGGGGCAGAGACTTTCTCTGGAATTGGGCCACTTCTCCGCAATCTCTTTATGTCCCCCATTAATTAAGGACATTACAGAGATCCTGCTCCATAACTCATCATGCAAGTACGCATTACCTTCAGCAGAAGAGATTCTATCGTGTGTCCTAACTGTGGGTAACACATCTCTGACTATATGTCAATACCCAATATCTCCACAGTCAGCGTGTGCCTTCACTGTATGAACAGGTTATAACTTACTATTAATGTAGAACGGATATCTCCAAATGTTTTATCTGGCACATTCCAAGTTAATTTATAAAATCAGCTTATATGTTATTTTGGTTTCTTTGGTAAAATAAAAAATCATTAGCTGCATAAACTACAAAAAAGGGGTGTTCTATCTCAGCAAGTGCCGATACTTTAAATAATTAAGGCACACAATTTACATTAATCTTTGTACAGCAAAACATTACTTTTCCTAGAAATTTCAGTACTTTTACCTTAAAGGTAGGTTTTGAAAAATCCCCAAGTAATATTTTCTATGTCTACATATCCTTATATAGTATTCAGACCTTAAAAACTATAAAACCTGAAATAAAAGTACATAAATGTTAAGGAAGTTGCTGCGTCATTAAATTAAAATTAGAATAAAACATTGAATCAAAGTGCAGGGACCGATCACGCAATGATGCGTGAATAGAAGAAAATTGCTTTTTTCCCCTTGGAGAAAAGATCATGTTGGCAGGTAAATCCCGCATAGAGCTAGTACATTTAATTACCATGGCACACCCTATAGAAAAATTATAGCTATAAACCTATCTTAGCCTAATTTCAAAAGCCAACTCTGCGATAACATTTTCCAACCTGCAGATATAAGTGTTGCTGACAGATCTAAATGTTTAATAGCTTCCTTACCAGCATACATGTCCCTTACTAATGACATAATACATGGCTTATAAAACTGCTTATGGCAATATGAATTGTAATAAAGCATTATGAGATAGTATTGTGACAGCAATTACTAGTGCTTATGTCAAACATCTGTACTTATTCCACTATCATTACAACATATTGTAACAAAATATGCATAATGGTAAATGCTCATGACTACATATACATGTTATCTCTAAGTCTGGTTAAGTACAAATGTGTTGATACAAATAGATCATTTTTATCCTACTTTACTTTAAAAAAAAACTTTTAAAATAGAATTGAGAGAACAATGTTGATGGCTGGGTTACTGTGTTACTTCACATATCCCACCACCCACAGTCTTGGAAATGGTTCTCATCCTCTCCTCACCGCCAGCCTGGTGAGGACCCTGGAGAGGACCCCGGGGAGTAAGGG